GATGATAATCTTTCTTGCTTTCCTGTATTATTAAGGGAAAAAATGTATATGTATATATATATATATATAAAACGTGTGTGTGTGTGTGTGTGTGTGTGTGTATTATCTCCACCCTTACCTGTAGATCTTCATTTCATGGGATTTAAGGTGGGAGGGAGGAAACGTGTGGGCCTAGGGTACCATCATGATCCAATCCATTTTTTTCTGGAACTTAGCCTTTCACATTCTAAACTAAGCACAATGTTCTACTCAGATGGCTCATTTTTTGGACTAAATTCCTGAGGAATTGGACTAACCATTAGGTTAGGGAGAGTTTGAAAAGTTCATTAGGTACATTCATTCCATGACATTTGACTTTTATGATGAGTCCATACATGGGTTTAAGAGCTTACTTTTCTCAAAGAAGGAGCTCATTCACTAAAGGCAATATCTGATATCAAACATCTCTCCTTTTAAATTATTATCTTCTAAGATTGGTTTGATTTGATCTCTGTTAATCAGGACTGGCAAGGAACCCCATCTCATCTGTTGTCTGTCCCAGCATTTACTCTTTCTAAGTAACTAGTCCAGAATTATAATTTTATCCCTGAGCCCCAAAGATACATATATAGAAAAGATCCACTTATTTCCCTATTATCTACTTATTTTCCAATGTGAGTAGATTTTAAAATAAGAGATAGTGAATAAACATACACTCTTTTTTTTTTCTTGCAATGCAGTTTACTTTTAGGCCCACAGAATTGAAATACAAGAAAAATAACAAATTTGTTATACACCAAAGTCAGGATATGATTACTGCCAGAGAACCAGGAAGATGAATGGAGTCTGGGAGAGGCTTATGAGGGCCTGTCGTTAGGGATTAAAACTGAACAAATGCGACAGAATGTTAAGATGACAAAAGCTGAGTTATATGATTGTTCATTATATAGTACTCTATATGGGTTAAAAACAGATAAATTTAAAAATTTGTCCATTTTTTCTTTATGCTGGATCCCTTAACTATTGGATTAATTATGACTCCTTAACATTTAAAAAAATCGAAGTATAAGTAACATACAATAATACATTCTTAGGTGTTCAGTTCAATACTTCTGACAATTTTATATACCTGTGTAACCACTATATAAGTGATAGAACATTAGTTAATTCTGTCTTCACATAAACTATAACTGGAAATGCATACTTACAAAGCAGATAGTATTTCTTGTATTCCAGTATTAACCATTTTTCCCTCAAAGGGAAATGCAAATTGGAATAATCTGTAATTTTTTTACACATTGGGATTTTTCATTCTATTCACAAGTTGTCCTTTAAAAAAAAACCTGATAGGCCAATTATTCTGGAATTCTCTTTTTTTGTCCACAATCTCATATTTTTTCATAACTGAGCAAAGTCATATTTTGGATTATCTGCAAACATGAATTCATTTTCGACTTTGAAATTTTAAGTTATCTACTTCAGGAAAAGTCTTGTTTAGGTTCTTTTAATGTAAATATTCCACAAAGTGTATTTTACCTAAAAAGTGTTACTATCCTCCAGTCCACCAAGGCATTAAAAGACTTTCAAATCAACATTTCCTTTTTGAGCAACTTTGTTCCAACTGTTCTCAAAGGGAAAGGACTACAAAAGATGGTCCATACGTTATTCATGGGCATCAAATGCCATTTTATACAAGAAATCTATAAGGTCATTAAGCCTCAAGATAATTTAAGTCTCAAAGGCTTCCTTCCCTACATCCTTGTGGAACTCAAATGTGTCAAATACGCATCTAAGAAACACTGTATTTTATGGCTGCATCTCTTATTCTCCCGGGGGCTTGCTTCTTCACAGCGGCACTGCTGAGCTGTTTGCCACCTGTGCCAAGAAAGACATCAGGGTGTGGCACACGCTGTCCAACAGGGAGCTGCTGCGGATCACTGTACCCAACATGACCTGCCACGGCATTGATTTCATGAGAGACGGCAAGAGCATCATTTCGGGTAACGTTGACATACCAAAGTTTGGCTTTGGGCTCTGGCTTGTGGCTTTGGATCTTGTCATTCTCCCCGTATGCTAGTCTCTACACGTGGATAACCTGGAACGGCCTTCCATTGTCCACCTCCTCCTTACTTCCCATCTAGCCTCGCTTTGGAGTTCCCTTCCAGCTGGGAGACTTTCTGAGCTAGGAATTACCAAGTCACAATTTCCCTTCTCCCACATTGTTGCATATAACATGTAGCTTCCATTCTAGTAGGGAAATTTACTAATTCAATTACAAAATGGACTGGAGGCCTTAGTACAGGGCACTTGTGTTAGAACCCCTTTTGTTGTTCAGGAGACTAAAAAACCTGACTTAATTTATGTTATGCCTCAAAGGGAATTTATTTTATGCCAAAATATTTTAACTTTAAACATCATTATGTTCAATCCACATGCAGATTTCCTCAGGGCTCAGAAATTAAACTCACTTATTCACATCTATGCAAAGTCAAGTGGATCTTTCAGTACAGCTATTAAATGGTGATACCAGGAACCCATTTCATCCCCATTTTTACTGGCTTTGTTTCTTCTGTGTTGGCTTCACCCTTGGGCATGTCTTCTCCACATAGTGGCCCAAGGAGCTCTTGGCTTATATTATACTTAGAGCTAACAAACCCGCAGGTCAGAAATCTTGGAGTCTTCACCTCCTCCTTTTATTTTACACCCCATATCCATTTGTCCCAGTGGCTCTCCCCTCAGAGCATACCCAAGATTCTGTCGCTCTCATCATCTCCAACCTGTGTCAGCCACGACCATCTCTCTCCCAGACTATTCTCGTAGCTTTGCACCAGGTCTCCCTGCTTCTACCCTTGTCTATCATCCTTCTCTCCAGTGTGTTATCAACACAGAAGCCAGGGATCTCTTTTAAAAACATAAGTCAGATCAAACCATTTTGGGGACTCATTTCTAAGTTTCCACCATTGCCTACATGACCTTCTCTCCTTCCCACCTCCACCTTCTCACCTCAGACTTGGCCTCCTACTGCTCACCCCTCTCTAGTCATATTTCCTTTTCTTTTGCTGTTCCTCAAACACATTGTGCATAGGGCCTTTGCTCTAGCTGTTTTGTCTGCTTGGAATGTTCTTTCCCCAGTTAGCCTCATAACTCCCTCCCTCACCCCCTCACTTCCTCAAGTCTTTGCTGGAATAGGATCTATCTTGAGCATCTTATTTAAAAATGCTAAGGTCAAGAGGTGACACTAAAGCCCAGAGAAGGAGCGAGTCACCTAAGGCACAGGGAATGGGCATTCCAGGCAGAGGGAATGGTAACTACAAAGGCCCTCAGGTGGGAAAATTGATTGGCATATTTGAAGAAAAGAAAGAGGACCAGTAGTGTATCTGCAGCTTAGTGGTAAAGCTGGGGTCAGAACTGGAGGAGAGTGGTACAGAGGAAGTTGAGGTGGGTAGAGAGAGACTAATATCTGTGGAGGATAAGGTGTTGGGTTTTCACTGTAGATGGGAAAGGCTTCTGAAAGTTTGATCAAGGAGGTAGCATGATTTTAAGAAGTTCACCCTGGTCCCTGCATAGATAATTGGTTGAGGGGAGCAAGAGTCTAAGGCCAGGGAAGAAGCTGTTATAATAATCCAGGAGAGAGATGCTGGTGGTATGGACAAGGGTGGTCCCAGGGGAAGGGTTGAGAAGTGGTTGAATTTAGGATGTCTTTCAAGTGTAAAGTTGATGGGACTTGCTGATGCACGGGGTATTGGCTTGGGTTGGACAATGGAATAGAGAAGAATGAAGGATGACTCTGAAGTTCTTGGGTTGAACAACTGGACGGATGCCACCATCATTTCACTGAGATGGGGAAGATGGTGGGAGTGGGGGAAGGAGCATCAGGATCAAGGGGAGGGGGAGGGATGGGAAGCCACCATTGGGGAGGGATGGGAAGCCACCATTTATTTGAAGGTGTTAAATTCTATGTCCCAGGTGCAATATCAACTAGCTAGTTGAATTCACAAGTTTTGCAGCCTGTGAGAAATGTGAGCTGGCCTCACTCCTTCCTCCCCACTTCAACTTCTCTCTCCTGGACTGCGGTGCACCTAGAGGCAGGTTCAACTAAGGCAACTCATTTCCCTCAGTTAGGTGTGACCAGTTCGAGGAGTCAGAGAAAAGGGGGTGTGATTTCCTGGCAATTGGGGGATGACCAGCCTCTTTCCTCCATCAGCATGACTGCCTCCCAATCCTGAATCTCATTTATGATGTAACAGCCTACGGAAAGAGCATGAATACACTGATCTTCGCCTTTTGTTTCTCCTTCATGCCAGGATGGGACGACGGGAAAATCCGAGCTTTCGCCCCAGAGACAGGCCGGTTGATATATGTCATTAACAATGCACACAGGATTGGAGTGACGGCCATCGCCACCACCAGCGACTGTAAAAGGGTCATCAGTGGCGGTGGGGAAGGGGAGGTACTGTTCTTAAAGGTAGAATGTTTTTCAAATAGCCCTTGACTTAGAGTAACGGCCTTATAGGAGGCCACTTATTTCATTTTTTTAACCTGTACTAGGAGTCAAGCAGGACCAAATTCAGATTTGGATGAAACCCTAAAATACATGATAAACTGAAGTTCTGATAATATAAATATGCATATAAATGTATCTGTTCACAGAAAGGACATTTCAGATACAAACATAAAAGCATTCTCCGTGGAATCAAGGTTGGCATTTTGCCAGAGTTTTAGAATATTTGCTCTTTTCCTTCAAAGACCAGTTATATAAATTGTCTTTATCTTATCTTTTAAAGAAGATGCTATTTTTAGAATAAATTCTTCAATCTACCCAGACATTTTGACAATTCATTTAAAATTATTACACTTGACCTTTTCCTTAATCATCTCAAGGCTTCTAAAACATCTTTCACTCACACAGTCATCTCAGGGTTTCTCCTGCCCTCCTCCCCAGCTTTTTTGCTATTTAAAAGCCTTCCCTTTCTCAACATAGGATATTTTATTTTCTGCATGCTATCACAGGAATAACTTACCAGGGAAAGAAAGATACAGAATGTTGATGTAGCCTTCAGAAGACTTTGGGCCAATCTGATGAGTGGCTGAGTGTTTGGGATCCAGAGTCATGCTGCCTGGTCCCAAATTTCACTTCTGCCACTTCTCCGCTGTGTGGTCTCTCTCTGCTCCATTTCCTGTGTATAAAGTGAAGATAACAATACTCTTATTAATGAGATATTTTACACTCTTTATCTTGTGTTAATTCTTCAAAATCTGGTGCACATTTTATCTTCAGAGCCCATGGTCATCGGGACTAGGCACATTCCAGGTGCTCCATAGACATACTCAGCCTCAGACCATCTGCCTGCTCTCTGCCTACCACCACCGTCACTGCTTTACTCCCTTCCCTTATCCCTTCGGCCGCACTGCTGCTGACACCCTCAGTGCCCTGGCTTGCTCTTCCAGTCTTCTGGGACATCTGCCTTGCTGATGCCTCAGCTGGGTTTGAGCCAGACCACTGGCATTCTAGGTGCCTGAGCCCAGGCTGATGAGAGCTGCTGAGGAAATCACACATTACCAATTCACTGCCCTTGGCTCCGCACAGCTATCTTTTCAAGAACAATGTCAGCTCCTCTTCCCATTCTCCATGCAGCTATTACAGACTTTTTCTTCCAAAAGACATAGTCTAGAAGGTCTTTGTAAGTGCTAGAGACTAGATTTGCAGCAGGGGTGCACTGCTATGAATGCAGTAGTTGCTGAAATACTCAACTACCTTCATTTTCACTAGCACATGGCCATTGCCAGAACACAGGATTGGAGTGACGGCCATCGCCACCACCAGCGACTGTAAAAGGGTCATCAGCAGCGGTGGGGAAGGGGAGGTACTACTGTTAAAAGCAGAATGTTTTTCAAATAGCCCTTGACTTAGAGTAATGGCCTTATAGGAGGCCACTTATTTGATTTTTTTAACCTGTACTAGGAGTCAAACAGGACCAAATTCAGATTTGGATGAAACCCTAAAATACATGATAAACTGAAGTTCTGATAATATAAATATGCATATAAATGTATCTATTCACAGAAAGGACATTTCAGATACAAACATAAAAGCATTCTCCGTGGAATCACTGTTGGCATTTTGCCAGAGTTTTAGAATATTTGCTCTTTTCCTTCAAAGACCACAGTTATATAAATTGTCTTCATCTTATCTTTTAAAGAAGATGCTATTTTTAGAATAAATTCTTCAATCTACCCAGACACTTTGACCATTCATTTAAAATTATTACACTTTCTCAAGACTTCTAAAACATCTTTCACTCACACAGTCATCTCAGGGTTTCTCCTGCCCTTCTCCCCAGTTTTTTTGCTATTTCAAAGCCTTCCCTTTCTCAACATAGGGTATTTTCTTTTCTGCATGCTATCACGGGAATAACTTACCAGGGAGAGAAAGATACAGCATCTTGATGTAGTCTCCAGAAGACTTTGGGCCAATCTGATGAGTGCCTGAGTGTTTGGGATCCAGAGTCATGCTGCCTGGGCCCAAATTTCACTTCTGCCACTTCTCCGCTGTGTGATCTATCTCTGCTCCATTTCCTGCGTGTAAAGTGAAGATAACAATACTCTTATTAATGAGATATTTTACACTCTTTATCTTGTATTAATTCTTCAAAATCTGGTGCACATTTTACCTTCAGAGCCCATGGTCATCAGGACTAGGCACATTCCAGGTGCTCCATAGACATACTCAGCCTCAGACCATCTGCCTGCTCTCCGCCTACCACCACCGTCACTGCTTTACTCCCTTCCCTTATCCCTTCGGCCGCGCTGCTGCTGACACCCTCAGCGCCCTTGCTTGCTCTTCCAGTCTTCTGGGACATCTGCCTCGCTGATGCCTCAACTGGGTTTCAGCCAGACCACTGGTGTTCTAGGTGCCTGAGCCCAGGCTGATGAGAGTTACTCAGGAAATCACACATTACCAATTCACTGCCCTTGGCTCCGCACAGCTATCTTTTCAAGAACAATGTCAGCTCCTCTTCCCATTCTCCATGCAGCTATTACAGACTTTTTCTTCCAAAAGACATAGTCTAGAAGGTCTTTGTAAGTGCTAGAGACTAGATTTGCAGCAGGGGTGCACTGCTATGAATGCAGTAGTTGCTGAAATACTCAACTACCTTCATTTTCACTAGCACATGGCCAATGCCAGAGTTTGAAGACCCCGGTCCCAACACCTTGTCCTCTTCCCTCCATGCATGCCCACACCTCCCTGCAATCCCGCTTCTAAAGGGCTAATGCCCAGCACATCTAAAGTTCCGGTCTCGGGCTGTTTGGCTGGTGCCCACACCATAGTAGGAAGAAAATTAGAATATCACTCTTGCTAAAGAGTGAATGTATGCTTCCAAATGCAGTGGGCATTTAAGATGGAAGATTTGTTTTCTTTGGCAATAGTCGCTATCCCATCCCAGGTCAGAAACAGGGAATCATTCGGACACTATAGAAATGAATCTGGCCCAGCTCATTTGAGATAACCTCATGTTTCCTCATCTTCTTTACTAAGAACGTATCTTAGAATGTTTTCCTTCCTTCATTGAAGCTTATTTTGCTCTTACCAGGTATAAAGACATTAGTCTGTTATTACTTATCCTAACACTTAGTTTTAGTCTAGTGTTCACCTCGACTATGGTTCTTTCACATGAAATAATTTTATTTCACAAAAAGCTATTCCTCCTCTTATTTTTTATGTCCAACATATTCGCTATAAGACGGTATATGCATCTGACTAAATTATTATGTTTTCTGGTATAGTTGTGACAGTGTTTATTATAAGACAGATAAATAACTTCCCTTTTATGTATCCTTTTTATTGCCAACTAGGGCATCATATTGTTTGTTGTGGAATTTTGTGTGGCGAGTAGTTGTATTACCTATGGGTTTCCTTTCAGAATAGTAAAGGGGTGTTGGAAAATACTCATTATAGAAAGTGGGTATTGACTGTGACAAGGTTGAGAACTGATGATTCTAAATGATTAAAACTAAGCAGCTGATGTGCAAGTTAAATATGGCTATGGGTACCCAAGAGATTTCCTGATGGCACCAGAAATTTGAGAGCAACGCTCAGCAGAAATGAGTAGACACATTATTTCCCTTGGTTTAGCAGCAGCCCTGGCAGTATGGGTTTTAGTAGCGGGTATCTGATAGATTTCTCAGCCCTCAAAGTAGAAGCAGGGGCAGGACCAGTGGTAGCATTTTCCTGGCTCCACGGATGAATGCTCCTGCCCCACAACTTAGCATTCCTACCCCGCTCAACTGTGATGAGAACAGGGAGCTAAAGAAAACAAGTCCAGCACAGCAGAGGTGAAAAAGCTCTTGGAATCTTTTTATCCCTTCAAAAGTGCCCGTCTGTACTGAGCCTGGGTGTGTGGCTCTCAGGTGAGGGTGTGGCAGATAGGCTGCCAGACCCAGAAGCTGGAGGAGGCTCTGAAGGAGCACAAGTCATCTGTGTCCTGCATTCGGGTGAAGAAGGACAATAAGCAGTGTGTCACCGCCAGCACGGATGGGACCTGCATCATTTGGGACCTTGTGTAGGTTACCTATGATGGGGAGGGCAAAGTGACACAAAATGCATTATTGAACTTGACAGAAGGTTCACACACAAGGTGGGAATCTTATTTAAGGCAACAGTAAAGGGGTGCTCACCGGAAGCTATTTATCTGCATGACTGTGCAGGGTTTACAGATGCTGGCAGAAAGGGTGTCATTTCCAGGAAGAGCAGGACATTAGAAATTTCTGGATGGATGGAAAGTAGCTTTACAGATACCCACAGTGATGCATGATTGAACTTATAGTAATGCAACTCTGAGAATCCCCCAAAAAGGGAGAAGGGAAATAACTTAAATAATGTAGGCAGTTCCTCTGGGCATTCTGCCCAGTCCAGTCAAACCCAGAATGAGCTTGCCATGGGGGACAGGGTAGGAGTGGGGGTGAGGGGTGTGACTTTGCCCTTCTTTCATTGTCGGGGAGCTCTCATGCTGTAAGCGCACTGCCATCCCCATAGAGGGGCTGACCCCAAGGTCACTGGACCAAAGTGTGAACTTTAGTTTTGGAGTAACTCAAAGGATTTTCAATGACAGTGTTTTATTTTATTTTATTTTCTATATGCATGTTTGTTGCTTGATTTTACTTAGTATTAGACCCTATTCCTCCAACCCCTCTCCCTGCCTAGCACCCCTCTACCATTCCTAAGATGCTTCCCCACCGTGATAACTGCATTAGAGACTTGGATATGTATGGAGCTGGGAGAAAAGAGATAGGGATATATAGTTATAGATACAGATATTGTATAAAAATATGAGATGGTCTTGATTGAAGAGAGGAGAATGGAACTAAAGGCAAAGACAGAATACTTTTTATTTAAGGCATTAAAAAAAAAACCCAAACTAAGCAAACCTCTGTCTTCTACCTCCCTGTGTCTCTAACCTTGATGTGCACAGTAATCACCTGGGGAGCTTGTTAAAATGTAGATTTTGATTCAGTAGGTCTAGAGTGGTGCCTGAGATTCCGCATTTCTAACAAGTTCCGAAGTGATGTTCCCGGTGCTGGTCCAAGGGCTGCACTTACAGGTCATGTTCACATTACTCCTGAACTTCCCATTGGGAAAATACATAACGAGAACGGCATGTCTGAACTTATTTCTGTGGATGCTTGTGACCACCTCAAATCTTTAAAGCCTCCCTTTTGTGTAGCAGACATATTTGGTTAATTTGTACCAGAATCTTTTAAAAATGCTCAGCTCAGATACCCTGTGCGAAAACTTCCCTAATGAGAAGAAACTACAGAAGGTGGCTTTTTGCAGCCAGCAGAGCCTGGCCTGTGAGATGGTCACCTATCTCCTATGGAAGGAGGAGCTTGATTTACATATTTCTCAGTACAATAGCTAAAGCAATGTTTCTCAAACTACTGTGCACATGGACTCACGTGGTACTGATTACCATGTAAATGTATGGGCCTCTCCCAGCCTCCTAAACCCAAATCCCTAGAGGTAAAGCCCAATAATATCCACCTTTAAAAAGCCCTTCCCCACCCTTTGATGCTCAGCTTGTAAAGGCATTCACTTCAAAATGGTGGCCTCAGGAATAAAGTACCTGGTATGGAGACGGCAGATTGACCTGAGGTCAGCCTCTGCTACTTCCTTCTCACA